CGTCCACCCGTAGCCGCCCATGGTGTTCTTCCCTGCCCCGTTCACCGGGCGTAACTCGTCCTTCGGGAAGGCATACTTAATGTAGGAGTTAAAGGCGTGCCCTATCATCTCGCGCACGTAGGGCCGCATTTCGGCCTCAATGGGGTGCAAGGCATCGGTGCTGCGCCACGCACCGCCACCCTCTCCCTCATCCTCGCCCACACCTCCACCGGGCCCCCCACCACGCACGCACACGGCCGTCACCAGCAGCAATGCTACCAACAAACAAATGCATGCCGCGGGCCCAGGGCCCTTTTTACCGCCTCCCCCAGAACACATAAATATGCACTTTGCACACTATCTACGCACCCTCACAAAAAAGAAAGCCAGAAAAGAAGGAGCAGTAGCACACACATTTTGACGAGGCAGTGCGTCGTTTCCGGAAAAAAAACACCATGCCCCGACACGCGCAACCAGTCACACTACTTATTCGCAACACCACACCAACACAAACACACACCACAAAAGAAAGAAAGCAGAAAAAATTTCCGGGCGGCTGGCCGAATCCTGAGTTTCTCAATCATAGAAAAAAAACAGATAAGAATGAGAAAGGGATCAACGGAATAAGAATGGATCCATCATATCCTCAAAGTTTAACAACAAGTAAGTGTATATATGTGTATGCATCGTCCATTAGCCACAGTTGTGGCCCGCTCACCCTATTCGGGTTCGATACATATATATTTATTACTTACGAAGTGGCAGACTTTGGGATCCTCCAGACACAAGACCCCGCTGCAAGAGGAGAATCAAAGGAGTGTGGGTGGCAAAATAAAATGAAAATTAACCAGCCGCTATCAATTCCCTGATCCCCTACAAAGTCGTGTTCTTCCCAAAAAATCATAAGATAGAAAAGCGTCATAAAGAAGTGCATTCGTTGTATCAGCATATATAAATTAATTAAGGCAGCCAGCTCTCCCGCGATCACTCTCCTCACAAGCTCCTACAAAAAAATAATTAAAAAATCAAACTGTAATTAATTCATTATTTATTTAGTTTTCCTTTCGCACCACATAAGGTAGCATCCAGAATTCTTGTCATCTAGGGCCCCAATATCGCGACATCTCTCAAAACTAGAAGGGATTTCAGGTGCATCAAAAAAAGATAACGGCAAAGCATCCAAACCCAAATCCTTTTTGGGGTCTTTCCCCTCCACATCCAACAAGTCACAAAGAGTCATGTAGAGATCCAATGTGGTCGAGATGCGGCGCGTTCGCTTCATCAAGTTCTTAAGTGATAATCCCGCCTTGTATCCCTTCATTTGATCAATGCCGGCCAACAACTCACGATGAAAAATCATTCCCACGAACGGCAGAGCCCGTTCCAACTTCCCGGGTGCGGTTAATTCATAGTAAGGACCCATATGATTTCCGTGGTCAGAAAGCATCAAAAGCACATTGGAAGGATCGTCAAAAAAGCCTAGGCCCACCCGAAGCTCTTCAAGAAAAGCGGTAAGTGCATTATCAACGAGGTAAATCACACCATGGGAACCCTCGTGACCTTCAACAAGGTGCAGTACATGAAAAAAGTGGAATGCATCATCCTGCAGGGCTAAAGAAGCATTTTGCGACAGATTACCTTTTGGATGTCGTTTTTCTCGTCGTCGTCTTCTTAACGGTCGTCCCAAAAGAGATATCGTATAATTTAACACATACTCATGCACATATTGCTGACCTATACATCGTCTCAAGATACTGTTGGCCCCTTGAAAATTTCCCTCAAGCGCCGAATATTGGATGTGACAAAAAGGCCCAAATGTGTGATAGTCTAAATCATTACCATACGGCTCTCCAAACCCAGCACTGTTTGTTTCCTCACCAAATAGCGAAAACATCACATCAAGACAGTCTCCTATCGTATAGGAAGTAACAAGCCGACTGCCATACTTTTTTTTTGCTAACCGAAAGAGATTTGATTCCATAATCTCATGATTTCTGTGCTTCATCATGCCTGCAATATTGCCTGTAAAAAGTGGCACAAGGTTTCCGACCGTGCTGTGAGCCAGTGTTGTGGCGCCCTGCGCCTCCACAAAGACGTGTTTTTTTGACTCATTGTTCCGGAAGTTACGGAGCCAATTGCTGAATTTTGGTAGAGAGCGCCGTACCTCCTGACGGCTCACGGCATCCAACACCAAAACAAGAACGCTGGCTGGGGGAATAACTCCGTTCTTTACCTCCCTTCTCGTCAAATTATGTTCAACTCTCTTGGAATGTCGGATGGGCGGAAATATATGATATTCCTCATAGTCTGAAGAAGGGCAATAAATACTGTAGGCTCCACTCTCCCCCAATGGAACAACCCAAACTTTTTTCGACAACCAACCTTCACGTGCAATTCTTTCACGATCACTCCGAGGCTTCCGTAGGACCGGAATGAGAGAAGAAGGAATAACTTCCACAGATTTAATCACTCCCTTTGAGTCACGTTTAACTAGAACACCCATAGATTCGTGAACTGTCTTGTTCTTACCATAACGCTTCTCTAGAGTTTGATGCCATAGTTGGCTCATCTTAAGCACCTTGGGGAGAACTTCTGTCCCTCCATTCAATTCACTTCGCTCCGGACGTTCAATGTACACAGTCGGTTGCTCATTTCCATCTGGACATATAGGAGATACAATCAAGACCCCCTCTTCTTCGCCAAGAAAGGAGATCCTGTTATTCCCACATTGATCACTGCCAGTAAAAGCATTAAGCAGCCTTCGATGAAAGTATTCTGGAAGAACCCATCCTGTGGCGGCAGTACTCGACAACTGCAGACCTTCAAGTCCACAAAAGTCTACACGGTCCCCCAGCATACCAACTTCCAGGAAGCGCTTTGCGTCGCCTTTAAAAAACGAGGGAGCAATTAGCAAAAAAAACATAATCATCAAGCACCCACATGTCATAGCAATGCGCATCCGCCAAAACGGCAAGCCACAAAGAATAGACTCAACATTTTTTTTATGAACTTTTGAACTCCAAAAATACGGAAAACCTCGACAATTCAGCCCCAATAAAACTGCGCAGCCACAAAAAAACATGATGAAATCAGCCAAAAAACGTGAAAGCAGCAACATGATTTCTTGCGTCTGACGGTGGTGGGCGGAAATCATTAGGTGGACCAAAAAGTGAAGCGCCAGAATAACTGTAAACGGTATAAGAAAAAATTTCCAATGATTTTTCCTCTGCATTTCACCTGAAGCTCCAATCCATCGCGAATTTTCAGATAGAAGAAGAACGGCGTGAGCTGCGATACCCAATGCCACTGAGGAAAATTCCCTTGCAATGCGTATGTTAACAGTAACCCCACGTATAACCATTGCCATCTGTAATAGCATCCCCCATGAGCAAAACAGTAACACCAATGTAAAAAATATTCGCACATATATACCCCGCTGTGACATCCCAAGCTCTAAAAACACAAAAACAAAACCCTCAATCTCACCGGTTGAACGAAAAAAAAAAAAAAAGATAAAAAGGTTTTCATTCATACTTGTCGCCAAAATTAATAATAATAATAATAATAATAATAATAATAATAATAATAATAATAATAATAATACAATTTGAAAAGCATATAGAATTGCCATACTTTATCCCACTTATTTATTTTAAAAAAATACATGTATATAAATAGCAGATGATACTTGGTCAATATAATTATTCTCATCTATAATGGAGAAAGTGCCAACAGTATTTTTTTAATAAGCGGTGAAGCAGAGTTAGTACTTCCAATTCCATCTATTAACCCTGTTAGATTCCGTAAAAGGACATTCTGAAGCACCTCTAGAGTTTGCCACAATTTGTCTCGCTCCTCCAGCAAAAGACCAAGCTGTTCTAATGATATGATCGGAGCCTTCTTCAATAGTAATTCTTCATTAATAGAACACCCTCCGGTAAAATAGCTTTCTTGCTCATCCTTAGACCCTGTTAGGCAATGCTGATGATGTCTATACGCGGCAAGAGTAATCGCCTCATAAGACTCGACCTCCCGTCTCATATCCTCCATTACAGCAAGGCACTCTTGAGGTAACAAAAACAAAGATTCTATATCCAGATTTAAAAAAAAATGAGAGCCATTAGAATCGATATTAAGTTGGGAATTGCGGTTGCATACATGCCGATTTTCCTTGCTTGTTTCATCTAGATGCTCCACATGAAATTTCGGTAACACTTCGCCTTCATCTTCCGAAAAATCAACTGCCCCAGATACAATCGTAGGAAAAGAACCCATTCTTATAGCCTGGCTTTTATTTTTATTTTTTATGTCTTTGACGAACGTAGGATCCTCTCGCATGCTGGTCTCTACTTCGTTATTCTTTGTTTCGTTGTTAGGGACAGGTCCAGCAAAATCGAGCTCCATATACTTCTCTCGAACCATTTTTTGTTGCAACTTCATAGCTCTTGTCGGCCTCACACCTTCCACGTGCCCAGCACCTTCAGAAGTATTGGCGCGTCGCTCAAGTGCCGACCTGGAGTACGTGTTCAGCATCTTCTTCAAAAACTGATACATCCATTTCAGGAGCATGATATGCTCTTGAAGCTTTCCTGCCGCCAAACGCGTTACATCAACTTCTAAAGAAAATTCTTGTGGTACGCAGCCCCGAAGCATAAATTGTAGTGTTTGCATGTTTTTTTCACAGTGTCCACGCTCCTGCAAAGTATCTGAAGAGGGGTCTTGATTGATGCAAGTAACCGTTGTAACTCCCCATTCAACACGACTGAGAAGCAGAGATGCACGTTTTGCTCGTGATTGGGCAATTTTTGCCTCCGGTAGCCCAAGCGCAGTGCAGTTCTCCGCCACACGACTAGTTACAGCATCAACTATGGTGCAATATGCAACACCATCACGCAATGATTCAACACTTGGGTATTGGGCAGTGCAAACGCTATTAATCCACAATAACAGCTCCCCTCTTCCTGAGGGCTGTACTGCCGCCGAAGTTCCATGCATTAAGAATTAGTGCCTGTTTATTTTCGATAAATTATCTGACCCAGAACAATTATTTTCAATTTTTTCTTCCTTCTAGCTTTCCGTTAGCAAATAAAAAAAAAAAAAAAAAGGAGAGTAGTAAGAAAAATAACAAGGCATATGATACAGATTTCCTTTCAATGTTTCAAAAAAAAATAAATAAATAATAAAAAAATAACACCAATCAATAAGCCAACAGCTCATATTGCTCCGACAAACACTACTATAATCTGCTAATTTAATTCCTTCCCATAATAGAAAAAAAAAGTAGAAAATAAGCAAAAAATATCTCTCATAGCTCGTTCAGTAAAAAAATTAAAGCTAAAAAAAAAGTGGAATATTAGCACACGCGATTCTAATAAAAGCATTTAAAAAAAAAAATGGTAATACTGCTGCAGCAACAAACAAAAACAGTTTTGATATCATAAATATTGCCTCACTAAAGTGAAACACTAAAAAAAAAACAAGAATAATCTTCCGGGCAGCTGGCCGGATCCTGAAGTTATATCTATGGAAACCAAACAAGTTAGGGAAAAAGGTTCGTTAGTTAATTGCTTCAATGTTTTCTTTTCATTCAGTATATATAGAATTCTGTGGACCACTAGCATGGTCCTTTGTCCTCACTTAGGATTTGAATATTATTACTTACGAAGTGGCAGACTTTGGGGTCCTCCAACCACAAGACACCGCCGCGTGGTGGGAATCAAAAGGGGGTGGGTGGGATGGCAAAATAAAATTAAAAACTCATCCGGCCTCTATCGGCTCCCTGCCCCTACAAAGTCGCGTTCTTCCCAAAAAGATTCATACGGTAGAGAGTATCATAAAGAATGCATTCATTTATCAGGATGTACATTCATTAATTAAGTTAGCCAGCTCTCCCGTGATCATTCTTTTCACAAGCTCCTAAAAAGCAAAAGAGATAAAATAAAAACAATTCGTTTTTGTTTACTTCCCACAAAAATTTACTCGGCTTTCAGCTGCAATTGATTAGCCGTTCGTCAATATCGGTAGCAATCTCATTCCTTGCATCAGCATTCACTGCCAAAGTCATTGTATTAAAACCCTCTTCGCGAGGGTCGTCATCAATGTCAACTTCGTCATTATTCACTCTCTCAACTACCAAGATAGAGTCACCCCTTTCTTTTTCTACAATGTATGTGCCAGTTTCTCCAATAAACAGGCTGCTGTTTCGAACCTGTTTTACATGTTTTCGGTTCTTTATTGGTAAAGCGTCTCCTCCAACATTTGACCCCTGTAAAATCCATGCAACTTCGCTATGCTGTCCGTGATCTAGCCCGTGGTGTTCCTGTTCGTCTGTTACTCGTAGTCGATAAAATCGCCCAATGATAAGTAATATAACAAATGTCCAAAATCCTGCCCATGTAGCAGCCACAATACAACCCAGGCATTGTAATCCAAGTAGTCTTATACCTCCTCCGTAAAGCAACCCATCCGCACCACCGACGGCTGAAGATCCGGAAAACCCAATAAAAACGGCCCCAACCAATCCGGGTACCCCATGGATGCTGGAAACATCAAGCGCATCATCAATGCGTAATTTGTGTTTGATCAAATAAACAGATACGGTTGCAAAAACTGCAATAATAAAAGCACATACAATAGAGCTGGGTACAGTAATATAGCCAGAAGTAGGAGTAATACCAGCCAAACCTGCAATGGCTCCATTTATCATGGCAATAAGACTCGCCTTTTTGGTTCGCAGCATATGGAAAAAACAGAAAGCAGCAGAACAAACGGCCGC